AGAGAGAGAGAGAGAGAGAGAGAGAGAGAGAGAGAGAGAGAGAGAGAGAGAGGGAGAGGGAGAGAGGGAGAGGGAAGGTCGACACAGAGAGAGAGAGATAGAGAGAGAGAGAGGTCGGGAAGGGTCGAGCATCGGGCTTCACTGGGAAGCTGAAGGGTCGAGCATCGGGCTTTGCCGGGAAGCTGAAGGGTCGGGCATCGGGCTTCGCCGAGAAGCTGAAGGGTCGAGCATCGGGTTTCCTCAGGCTTCAGTGCCCCACCCCACCCCGATCAACACCCGTCTCACACCCCGCGTAGAGGTACTTGGGGAAGAGGAACTCCAAATGCGTCACCCCACTCCGATCAAAACCCCTCTCACACCCCGACCCCTATCATCAGTCACTACTGTCAAGTCACAGGTTATCAAATTTTGGTAGAAAACCATGGGGTGCGTCAGAATTCTAGTCCTCAACTATACGACCGACTACCTGCTAGTCGAATTGTGAACGAATTTCACGGAAAATAACTTTTTTCGAGTTCTCGGGCACCGCATTGGAAATATGAGCCGGTGAGTTGGTCAATGGCCAACACGATGCAACGGACGTCTGAAGAATCTGACCACTATCCCCTCCCCAACATTATCCTCTCTCCAACACTATCCCTCCTCTCTCTATCACACGGCGTTATGGACAGGTCTGCATCGAACATCCGCAGTTCCCGCGAAAAACATGGGCGGCACGAATGCTCGGTCCCTGGCAACATCCACACCCTTCAAGTAACTACACAACTGGCAAACCCTATACCAGGCACGTTAAATAAACCCTATTTACTATAAGCCATATTTCAAAGGAGGATTGAAACTAAATGTACCTAGAGCAATGCTTCAACTGCATATTGCAAATTTTGTATCGCCCCGACAGGACCCACCCCAAGTCTTTGTCCACATACCTGATATACTTTGTACTCAACCGAGCCCTATGACGGTTAGTACACCGACGTTCCCAAAGGGCATGTCGCACTTAGCCAATTTCTGCATTTCCGACCCTTGATCTTCGTAGTCTGCGCTCAAATGTTGAGGATTAGTTTAAGGAGAACTTTCACCTAAGCCATGCGGCCTACCTTTCTTTTTTTTTTCCCTTCCTTTTGTTTGTTAGTTTCGTCGCTCGGACTTTTACCGTTTCAAAAAACAATAATAATAAACAGCGATCTTCGTAATCTGCGCTCAGATGCGGAGGATTGGTTTAAGCAGGACTTGCGAGGAAGTTGCCCCTAAGTCACGTGGCCCATCTTTTTTTTTCCCTTCCTTTTGTTCGTTTGTTTCGCCGCTCGACCTCTTATTGTTTCAAAAAAAAAAACAACAAATAAACAACTACCACGCATTGCATCTCCTACAAAAAAAAACGAACAAAGTGTAATTGCACTGCTGCTTCATCCTAGTGCATTCAAAATCTCGTACCACCCCAACAACACCTGTCCCCACTGTTTGTCCATGTACCTCACATGCTCTGTACTCAACCGATCTCTAAGGTCCTTGGTATGCTGACGTTCCCAAGGGCAAGATCTCACTTCGCATAATTTTTCATTTACAGCCCTTGATCTTTGTAATGTGCAGTCGGATGATGAGGATTCCTTTAAGTGGGACTTGGTCCACCAACGTTTTTTTTTCATCTAGAACCTTTGTCGTTTCGAAAAACATGAATAAAATGTATTTGCATTAATGCTTCATCGTAGTCCATTCCAAATTCAGTATCACCCCAACAACACTCATCCCCACTGTCTGTCCACATACCTCACTTGCTTTGTACTAAACCAACCCCGAAGGTCCTTGGTACGCTGACATTACTAAGGGTCAGATCCCACGTGGCCAATTTTTTCATTTTCAACCCTTGATCTTCATAGTGTGCAGTGGGACTTGGCCCACCCTCTTTTTTTCTTCTTTTTTTCCTTCCTTTTTTTGTTTCTTTCACGGCTCGATCCTTTCCCGTCACGAACAAAAAAAAAAAACAATGATAGTTGCCCCTTGTTTTTTGTTTTTCAGGACCTTTGGGCTTCGAACCTTCATACTTGAAAATAAAAAGAAAGAACAACTTTAACTTTTTTTTTTGTGAAAAAAAACAATCAAACTTTCACCCGGTCCATCTCCTCATTCACTTTTTTCCACTTTTTCCACAGTTCAAACCTTAATGTTTCAAAACGAAAGCGTAGAAAGCAGAGACTTCTGACAGGTTCTGAACAAATACCATCGTACGATGTAAAAATATCAGAAACACATCGTACACGTCGACCACGATCGGCGGTGACAAACTACTCTCGTTGCATCTCAAAAGAAAGTAGAAGAAAATAATTTAAAACGGTCACCGCAAATATCACACAACGCATGGTCAGGAACGAATCTCGGGCAGGACCAGATGCCTGTGGCCAAAAATAATTCTATGAAAGATTATATATAATAAAAAAATAATAATATTCATAAAAATATAAATTACATAGTGTATCATGCAAGAGGACGACTAATGAACGCCACACACGGATCCTTCTTTATTTAAGAAACCACTTCAAATATTTCCTTAAAGTCGTACTTAAGGAAGACGACAACATCATAGCCCGAAGTAGAACGATATCATCGTAGAGGACGTGTGTCAAACCTTTTACAGTACATTCGGAATTCTCACTCATTACATAGAGAGGTGCACAACACACCTGGTTGAAATCAATATAAATAAAATACTTTATTCAACTGTGTACACAAGTGTGAGATGCCCGGACACTTAACCCAGACATTTACTCTGGACATCTGGTACCCCCGTTGTCAGGGATCCTGAACATCCGATTTTGGACAAATCTGGAGGGGGCACGTGTCTCCCGACATGCGACACAGTCTGCGCTTGCTGCTGGGACCCTAAGGAAAATAACTGGGCCCATTTGAAGATTGAAAACAAAAACAAAACAAAACAAACATGCTGCAGCAGCTCCCATAGCGATTGTTGCAGACACTTTTGCAACACTTGTTGCAGGAGTACTGCAACAACGCTTGCTGCAGGCACTTCTGCAGCAGCAGCTGCAACTACTGTTGCAATTGTCGTTCTAACAGCTGTGTCAACCGTTACAACAGGTTGCTATAAAGGTAAGACTGTTTAAAACACTTGTACTTCTTAGAGTTGTGCCCATTAACGAGTTATCGGGTGGCCGCAGACCGGTCGCCCACCCGAAATACAAGGGATTCGTCCCTCAACCAAAAGTCCGATTACGATTTGTCGAGTACTTTTGTCGGAACTATCAGGGAAAATTAGGGGTCCTCTGATAAACTCGGAAATCCCCTGCGTCGACAACAGAAACCAATCATAAAAATTAGAAAGATGAGCAGCCACCTTTACCGCGCCTTACACTTACCTTTTCGTAAGTTCAGGGGTTGTCTCCAAATCTGGTAGTCATGGGGCAAGGGTATATTAGTAATCCTTCGCGGCGTTCACTCGACACTTTCGGCGCAGACCAATTAACGGGGAAGTGGGGCCTCAATTTATATTTAATATAATGAAGAAATTAAAAATGAGTAAAAAGATAAAAAATGATAAAAAGGGAATGAAACGAATGATTATTTTATTATATAGCTAATTTTTATCAAATTCTGCTCTTGATGGATTTTAGCAGAAAATTATCAATTTATCCCCCTTCATAAATTTAAACAGATTTTGTTATTTTTAATCCCTCATTGGATTTTACCCGATTTTTCTGCTTATCACCCTCGTTATAAACCGGGTATTATTGAGTGACCGGGGCATGTATCTTTCCGGGATCCTACGGACATTGGTAACATCGGTTGGTGCATCAGC